TATACCAAAGATACAATTAACAGCACATTGCATGTTAAAATTTTGCTTTGTTTAAAGGTCATTTGTTTTAAATAAGTAAAATTCTTATTATTTTCTCTTAGAAAATGTTTGACTTTTTTATGTGATACAAGGCCTATAACAGTGGTTCTGGTTTGGTTTTGCTCAAGTAAACTAATGTGGAAGGAAACACACAATATCCTTTACTTCAGTGACATTTTTACACAGGATTTAAATGTTATATTGTAAATATTACCATGAAGACACGAATAACAATATCTAGGCTACCTCAGAAATATTGTATTAGCCTATATTACAGAACATTATCTCTATTGAAGATGATGCTGTGACATGAGGTTTCTGTTTTAGGAGGTGTCTAGGCTACATGACAGCATTTTCAACAAAAACAAACAGAGAAAAAAAACGGTTTGGCCATTTATTTACTCAACAACGATGTTTTGGGGGCCGCCTAAAAACGCAAAAGTTTGAAAACGTGTTTCAAAGTGTAAGGTTTTAAAAATGATACCATCGTCTCTCCATGTAAACTACAAAAACGTGCATTTGTGAAAATGGTGATGTTATAAATATTACGTTGTTCAGTTTGTAGGCGCATAGTTTTTTTTATAAAGTGACATCGCCGACTACTGGCCTGGCATGAATAATACAGTGTTTTTAGTCGTTTTCACAGATCCGTGTGAAAAGGTATCGTTTTGACAGTCATCTGTACGTGAAAAACACAAAGGAAAAACTGTTCTGTTTTTAGTAGCTACATCATTGTCGTGTAAACGTATCAGTTTGTTAGCTCTTGTTTCCTCCCTAATATGAAAAAATAGCCCTCATTTTCAGTTGGTTTTTGTCCTCCTTTCTCTTCTGTATTTCCTGCTCTCTCCTGGTCTCCAGTGTGTTTTTTTTTTTTTTGTTAATAAAAGTGACTGCTGCAAATAGATCCTGCTTCTACTCTCCCTTCCTGCAACCAGCCCAGACAGACTTTATTTCATTTCAACCAATGTCATCCTAACTGTGCCCTTTTTGAGAATAGACGTGAAAATGCACTATCCAGACATAAATAGTTGTAATTCATGAATGCTTTGGAATACAGACCTTAGGTATCTTTTAAAAGACAATCAGCAGAATGAAAGTGTAAAAAAGTTTAAAGGTGCAAAACGCAAGTCTCTGAGTTTTTGCAGAACTACGCCCCCTCTGGCGACAAGCGAAACTGCAACCAGAGTTGTGCACGCTCATGGACCACACGCATCTTTTATTGGATATGTTTTATGTTTCATGTTGTACTATTCTTCCGAACACAATTCCTAGTTTATGAAACTGTTCACTAACAATGGTAGTAAAACCAATTCTGATTGTACATGTATCTAGCTTACACTAAAGCATTACACATTTTACGCATCGTCATTTGTTGTCATACATAGATTGGCCGCATCAAACATTAGAGAATGGGCTATATCTTACCGTTTTATCAAGAAAAAAGCCAACTGAGGATCCCGTTTGAGACCAAGAGCAGACCGGAGATCTCTCCATTTGTTGAATGCCTTCCCGAGGTTGACTCTCGTCTTACTCCGACGCCTGTCTGACTCCTGTCTACTTTACGTGGAGTTTGCGTTGGGGGTTGGAATGGACTACAAGCCGGTCTCTTTGAATCAATCTTCTACCTTTGACGCACGAGTTGTCTTCGCTGATGCGGAGAATGGCGGCGCCGGCGAATACACAAACCTGCAAGACATAGCCTGGTGAGCGTGAACGCGCATGACGTCACGTCCAGTCTCAAATTCGAGACTGAATCCCTCTTATATATTTTACTGTATGGATTATAGAGGCAATCTCAGTGCGCAGAGAAGGGCTCATTCAGCCCATCAGGCAGTTCTTTAAGCATGTATAGGATAGAAAAACAGGTATTTTTAACATGAAAAGTTGCGCAATGCACCTTTAAAGAAGTTTAAGTTTACTCTAAAACAAATGTACTGTACTAAACATTTTTTATTTTATACAAAACATATATTTTAGTAAATAGGCCTAGCATTTACTGTAAAATTGCTATAAAATGAATGTATGTCTAACCAATTTTGGTTCAAAATTGTAGGCTGATATCACAAAAATAGGCCAATTTCACACTTAGGGGTTTTTGGCTTCCGTATTGGCCCTTGTTGGGTAAACTTTTTTTTCCGGAAACAGCAATGGCTGTGCCTAGAAAGAACCAGTATATAATCAAATCTAATAAGCATATAAGTAAACCAATATCTGTCAAAGACCGTTTGCATCCCCCTATTGCCTGTTCTTTTAACTAATATTTTTGTTATTTCTAACAGAAATGACACAATGATTCTTAATAATTGAATAAATAGAAACATTAAAAGGAGAAGGATGGAAATTTGGGTTAAAGATCATTGCAACACTTATGTTGAGTAGTATGGAAGCTTATGTGTAGCAATATTCAATTTGAAATGTAATATGCAAAATGATAATGCAATATGTAAAATGACAATGCAATATGTAAAATGGCAATGCATTTCTGTATTTAAATTTACATTTTCCATTACATTTGTGCAACGTTTGGTGCAAAATGAAAATGATAATTCAATTATATAATTTACATTTGATACACATATGCTTAACTTTATTCTTATTACTATTAACTATATTTACCCAATAATGTTGGAGATCCTACAGGTTTTCTTTACAAATGCACCTACTCTGAGATCACAGAATATGACGGGTCAAATTCATAGCTACCAAAAAATTTGACCGCTCTTTATTTCTTCATAACTTACTGTAATGTTCAATAAAGTGTCTCATGTGATGTTTAACCATCTCCCTTTTTTATTTTACAAAGCATATTGATCAGATATTTATCCGTGATCGGCTCGGAATGCATTTTCAATTTGCACATTGAATTTTGCTACATTCATTGCGGGACATTTAATGAAAATCCAATCGCAAGTGTCTTAACTGAGAGTGTAAATGCAATTAAGAAAAATAACATTTAAATGATCATTTTGCAACAGTTTTTGCTTGAACATTTTAAACAGATCTAAAAATTTCTTTAATACCTTTTCATTTTAATTTTGCAACTTATAAAGCGTTAAAATATGTATTCAATTTACATATTAAAGCATATGTATGAAATGGCAAATGTAAATTATATAATTGAATTATCATTTTCATTTTGCACCAAACGTTGCACAAATGTAATGGGAAATGTAAATTTAAATACAGAAATGCATTGCCATTTTACATATTGCATTGCCATTTTACATATTGCATTATCATTTTGCATATTACATTTCAAATTGAATATTGCTACACATAAGCTTCCATAGTAGTGTTGAACTAAATTTTCAGCCAACTCCCACTAGCCCCACTTTCCTTCTGTAGTTTTTAACCCTTTGATGCGCAAGCTATGGATACCCCTTCTAATGCACAACATGGGTCTAAAAAGACCCGTATTAATTTCCTATGTTATTTCATGCATGGCTTGGCTTTTTTTTTTTTTTTCACCTTTTGAAATCACTTTATTTGAGCATTTAATATTTCATGATCTATAAATTTCATGATTTATGAATATTCTAAATATCTTGTTTTCAATTATCACAAATTCATATTTGAATATTTCCTAGGTTTTGTGTTAATACATCAAGTTTACACACATGGGTCTAAAATGACCCATCTATGCAAGCGTGATAAAACAAAAGAATAAAGAAAGCTTTTTGTTAAAATAGCCAATGTCACAGTTGTTTAGATCAACACATTTACTGTAACACTTGAAATATGTTTATTGGCCACTTTGTCACACATAACACACATATAACCGATAACACTGAAATTGAACTGTAGTGTAGTGCAACTGTAGCGGGATCTACCCACCACCAATGTGCAGCATCCACCTGGATGATGCGACAGCAGCCATAGTTCACCAGAACGCCATCCCACGAAGGCTTATGTGACCGATAGCATTGATTTATGACCACAAATAAAAATGAATATGGAGGTACAAGGTTTCTGACCAACAGCGACAAATATATACTTGTATATATAACTTTCTATTGCAACTTTTATTTTGTTGACCTAGCTAACATTAGATAAAATAGAATATGTCGACCGCAAGCTAGCTAATAGTATTGGACATGTTTCTCTTTTGCACTAGTAATGGATTCCAAGGTCAAGGTAACCTTAGCCTAAACGTTCAAATATTAGGCTATATCTAGATGTCTTTCACAAAATATCAAATATTTTCTGTGACAAAAAAATTTATTAAATAAAACTTACATACATGAAATATACAAAAGCAGCCGTGTTGAATTGTGAAATGTGTGGCAGGTGAATAGTTTTCTGCAGTAAATATATTTACTATTTATAAATATCAAAGGTTCCTATATGGGTCATTTTTGACCCATGTGTGTAAAATTGATGTAGAAATACAAAAAACGTGTTTGTTTATAAAGTAAGAAAGGAAAAATAAACAATGATTTGTGGAAATCAAAAACAAGATATTTAATGAATACCTGGATTAATAAATGATAAAAATACATTTCTTTCAAATATTCAGCAAAGAAACATGAATACGGGTCTTTTTAGACCCATGTTGCGCATTAGAAGGGTAGTGACACAAAAACGATTTTTATTCGAAAAGTAAGAAAGGAAAAATTTAAATAAGGATTTGTAATGATCTAAAACAAGTTAATTGAGGAATACCTGGAATACTGAATGATGAAATTAATTTCTTGCAAAGATATAGAAAATGAAAACGCAGTCGGGTCTATTTAGACCCATGTTGTGCATCAAAGGGTTAAAAGGAAAAATAAAGAATCTTTCAGGATCAATTTTGGTAACTTTCCCATTTTCAAGAGAACTTTATACAGTTTTTGTTACTTTATACGTATACATTTTATGTATAATCATGTAAGTTTTACCTTGACAAAGTGTTTGACAGATTAGTTTGTGTCCACAGTCACTTCCTCTTCGCTATAAATATGTGGCCTTCCTCGGTTTTTGTTTCACTTGCTTTGTGAACCTGACGAGAACATCATGGAGCGTGAACCATGGCTGAATCTGTTCATGCTTGCAATACTGTGTCCTCTCATAACCGGTAGGTCATCTTGCCTTGCCTTAAACCATCAGAACCATAAGGTTTTTTTGTCTATGTAAAGTTTTATTTTGCTGTTTCACTGAAATGCTGATTTGAGGGAATGTTTAAACACATCAAGAGATGCATTAAACAGCTAATTGATTCTTAATTTCTAATTTAATAGTCTGTAGTATATAGTCCAAAGCAAATAAGTCTAAAATGAGTCTATAAATAATTTATTGTAACTTTTAGACGCATAGTTTTTTTGAACTCACAAACACACCATCTTTTATGATTTGAGCTTAAAAAGCACAACTTTTATTTGATAAAGCGTAAAATAATATTACAGTAATTTTACTTGAAAAGTAGGTTTGGGACCCAGAATTCTAAACTGTACAGCCCTGCTGAAGGGTCACACTAATGTTCTTTACAGTGATTTCTTTCACGACACCCTTTTTTTCCATCTGATATTCCCAAAAGGTGCTCCATCCTCTAATTTGTGCTCTGATGAGAATCTCAGTATTAGAGGAGGCAGTTTTTCTCTCTCAAGTGATGGGAGCCTTGTAAGATACAGCTGTTCAGAAGGCTATTACCCAACCGTAACAATCCGTCGCTGTAACAGGGGAAGATGGAACCCGATGCCAGAAAAAAAGAAAAAAAAAGATTGCAAGAGTAAGCAACACATTATGAGACAAACATGATCTTACTCTTATTTATAACTGAGAAAACAACCACATTTTCCATTTCAAGGCTACTCATAAAACCAATCCTTTTGTCTCAGAAGTCACATGTCCTAATCCTCGTGGTTTTGAAAATGGAGAGGTGTATCCATCTTTGCCAAGGTATTTCGTGAACGACACAACCCACTACTCATGTCATTCAGGCTACATATTCCGTGGCTCAGGGACTCGTGTTTGCCAGTTGAATGGGAAGTGGAGTGGAAGCACAGCAGTCTGTGGAAGAAACTGTGAGTGAGAAGTCTCTCTGTGCTCTAGTGCAATAAAAAAGCTGTAAATTCAACAATTTCCTGGTTCATGAATGCCCTACAGATTTGTTAAACATTGGTCCTTAATATATTTCATTATCTGTTCCTCTTTTCAAACAGCTGATCACTGTCCTGATCCCGGCATTCCCGCTGGCTCTACAAAATATGGCAACAATTTTAACATTGACGACAAAGTCACATACCGCTGTGACAGAACATTGACTCTGATTGGTTCCAAAGAGCGAGTCTGTCAGGACGATGGCCAGTGGTCAGGAACAGAGCCAGAATGTTACGGTAAAACCTTCCTCCTTCCTGTTCAAAGTACATTGCCCTAATTTTACTGAAAGTTCAGCTTTGCTAATGTTGTTGTTGTGTAAATACAGCTGATTTCACATACGACACCCCAGAAGAAGCCTCAGAGGGTTTCAGCAGTTCTCTAAAGTCCAATCTAGAGCTTTCTAAACAACATGAAGAAACAGGTAGTCTTGTGCAACTCACGCTGCCTTCTTCCTCTGCAAGACAACATATACTTTTGTCACCACAACTTTTTTGAACGAAACCCATTTCCTGTGTCAGATCAGTACGGGAAGATAATACGAGTGCAAAAAGGTGGAAAACTCGATATCTACATTGCCCTGGATGTATCTGACAGCATAGACGAAGATGAGTTTGAAAAGGCAAAAGAGGTCATCAAAACACTCATAGATAAGGTATATGAAATAAATAGTGTGGTGATAACCATCATTTCAACTGACCGATTTCATGCTTCGATATTTCTGCCTAATTATGTCCCATTAGTACTTGTGCACCATTACAAGTTAATGTAAGGTGTTATATTTTTAATGTAACTACACATGAACATAATAAAGATTTGATCCTATGTTAATTACCGACAGATCAGTTATTACGAGGTCTCCCCAAACTATGAGATCCTGATTTTTGCCACAGACGTTAAAAAGATAGTCTCAATGAGGGTCTTCAAGAGCGGGCAAGGAAATAACCTGGAACAAATCCTTAAAAGCCTGGAGGATTATAAATATGAAAGTAAGTGTTTTGTTTTAGTATAGCAAAAGTTCAAATGCATTTGTTCAGCGTCGTATAGTCTGAGAGTCTTTAAGGACGTATGTTTTAATATCCTGACTTTTTTGTGACTAACAGGTAAAGGTAATCGAACAGGAACTAATATTGCCCAGGCCTATAAGGACATTTTAGAGAGTATGAAAATAGAACAGCTGACCAATGAAGAAGACTTCATGCAGACCCAGCATATCGTCATCATGTTCACTGATGGTATTGATGACAATATTTATACTTGGCGGTTACCACTGAAACTGTTAAAGTGTCTTTTGTTCTTAATGTAAAAAACTATTAAATTATCACAAATCAGAAAAAAGTAAACTAACTAAAGCTCTATATTTACTATACTTTACAACTTATTTTGTCTTTAGGTCAGGCCAACATGGGTGGTAGCCCAAAAATGCCAGTGTACCAGATCAAAAATCTTGTGATACAAAGTAATCCTTTACGAGAGGACAAACTTGGTGAGGAAGAACATGAATCATCTTTGACATTATAAACTATAGAACATTAACAAAAAATAGAGCAAATCTTCAAATACATCTCACTTATAACTCAGTTCTATTGTTTATTATTGATACATTTTTTTTGTTTGTCGTAAAGATCTGTATGTGTTTGGGATGGGAGATGAAGTGCAGGCTGAGGACATTAATGATTTGAAGACTGATCGGGGAAATGAGAAATTTTTCTTCAAACTTAAGAACTTGGAAGAATTGAAAAAGACATTTGACAACATGATTGGTACTTCATTATGTGTCTTTTCCATTTAGGAACATGGTTAGAAACATAAATTTAAGATAATTATTGTCCTCTGTATTAATCTCAAAGCACAGTCAATATATATAATTAATCTATAAGTTAATATTAATATTTATAATGATTTAATATATGATTTCTCCTGTTCTCCTTGCTTCTCCCTTAACAGATGAGGGCACCAGTGTAGCATTATGTGGACTTTACAGAGATTACAATGATGGTTCCAATGACCGCCATCAATACCCTTGGTTGGCAAAGATCAGTGTGACTGTGGGTATCCCTATATCATAGTCTTACTACTTATAGCTTAGCATCATCACCACATTAGTTCTAGGAACATATGCAAATTTGTTTTGAATTATAACGTCCATTCTCTGATGATTTTGCAGCGCAGCAATGGAAAAATCTCTAACTGCATGGGGTCACTAGTCACCTCAACCTTTATCTTGACAGCGGCTCACTGCTTCAATTTTGGTGACACACATGATAGGATAACTGTTGATATTGGTTCAAATATCCGAGGTAATGTTATGTCTTCAACCATATCATTTAGAATATGTATAATGGTGTAAATCTCATCAGTGGTGATTCCATACTCTTATAGGAATAAAAGTGAAGCAGTACATACCTCATCCTCACTATAACCTCAAAGCAAAAAAGGACATGGGAATACCCGAATATTATGAATTTGACGTAGCTCTTATTCAATTGGAGAAACCCGTAATTATGGATCTCAATCTTCGGTGAGCAATGCAGCTCATGAGTCATTTTACGCTACTAAAAAGTGTTAAAATAGTGTAATGAATGAATGACATATTGTGTTTGTCTGTACAGGCCAATCTGCATCCCCTGCACCAAGGAAACCAGCGGAGCTCTGAGACTTTCAGATAGAGAAGGAACGTGCAGAAAACATCGTGAGTTGCAATTGTCAGAAATGCTGCATGCATTTTAGTTTTGTGGATTTTCTAAAAAAAAATGCTGGGTTAAAAACAAACATTTCTAAGTTATTTGGCAACTCAGTGCTGGGTAAAAATATTACAAAATATCCCAATAAGATGACACAACAGGCTGAACCGCATTTGGGTTAAAAAAAAAACCCCAGCATTTTTAAGTGTATAAATATATAGTAAATATATATCATTGCACTGTCACAATGTAGTTTAAAAACATATTTGTGTAGCCTGTTATTTATATCTTGTAACATTGCTAAAATACAACATATATTTTATTTACATTTAAACTGTTTTACAGAGGAAGTGATAATGAGTGCAGACACTGTGAATGCTGCTTTCATGACTGACAGGAAGAAAAAAATTGACAAGAAGTTAATCAAAATCAAGCAGGGAAAATGGGTAATGATGTGTTTATGCTGAACACTGGGTTATCCTTTGATTGTTTTCCTTATATTTGTATTCATTTGTGGTTTCATTAAGTATATACAGGGCTTGATTGTTTTTTTCTAAGTGGATCTCAAAAGGGAATGGACTTATTAGCAATAGTTTAATTAAAAGCATTACCTCAACAGTTGAATTAATATGTCCTTTTTCTTCAGCGGGATGCTTGTGTTGAGGATGCCAAAAAAGCTGAGGGAATTACTGCGAAAAATGCTGAAGATATCGTTACAGATAATTTTCTGTGCAGTGGTGGGATTGAACCTACCAGAGATGATATTGCCTGCAAAGGTACGTTTGATTTTGCAAGAGTGCATAATATTTGGCTCTAATCTACAATTTTTGGTGTTGCTAGAATCATCAAAATCTCATATAACAACTCATTATCCTTAGTAAATTGAATTTGCTAAAAGATCTTCTCTTAATGCTGTGCATGTCATCAACAGGTGACTCTGGAGGGGCCACTTTTGTGGTTCCTGGTAATCGAATGGTCCAGGTGAGATTTTGAATAATTTTTCATGTTTGTTGATACTTTTTACAGAATACAGAATAACTATTTCAAATCACCTGCATACTCTTCTGAAGACTTAATAGCTATTCATGTCTATTTTAAGAGATGTTTGTTTTAATATCTGAATAATCTTGGAAAGGTTGGTATCATAAGCTGGGGAGTGAAGGATCTGTGCGCGCGCAACCCGAGCGCTTCGTCTGATGCACAATCCAGAGATTACCATACAAGTCTGTTCAGTGCAGAAGTACGCTCATTCCTTAAAGACTACTTAGGAAATGGCACACTGGGAACCCCTCTTACGTTCTTGTGAACATTGTTTTTAACAGTAGTTCAGAAATGTTGTGCATGCCTCTCAGTTAAATAAACATTTCTATTGTCCTTTCCTACTTTGAACTTTGTTGCAATTTGTAAGAAATGTGACACAATAAAAGCATTGTGTAGGCTAATAATGAAAAGCAATAACATATTAATTTAACCTATATGTTGTTTTTGTCATTTTGAATTTTAAATTATAATCCAGTGCAAGTAACAAGTGTGGTTAATTAACATTGAATTTAATGAATCAGGGGTCGTTTACACGACACTGGTTTTATAATTTTTTGTATGCGTTTTTGCCGTTCATTTAGGAGGCCTGAAAACGTAAACTTTTGAAAGTTTTGCTTCAAAGTGCAAGATTTTTATTTGTGATCACCTGAATATTTTGAATTTTATAATTTGTTTTGTTTTGTATACCTGTTTGCTTTCATATTGTATGTAAAAAAAGAGAGAGGAAAAACAGCTAAATGGCTTTATTTTCTATGTGACATTTCTACCTTACAGTTATGTATCTTTCATTGTGTCATGTTTCTCAATAAAAAAATATATATACAACAAAGTGCAAGATTTTGAAAACAATACCGTTCTTGTCTCCCTTGTTTAACGAAAAAAACGCACATTTGTGAAAACGGTGATGTCATGCGCATATGGTTAAGTCAATAGACCTTATTCAGAGCTGCACCATAGGTGTGAAAGCGAGGCTTTGAGGGATAGACTTACCTTGTTTTCAATGTCATCTGCTGTACAAAGCTCCTAGATCACTTATAATTTTCCAAAGCTCATGGTGTCTGGAGTTTTTTGTCTACTGAAATTTCTTGGAAAGATATTTCTGCAGTGTTTCGTCAGCAGAACAATCCAAAAAAGAAAAACACATTAAATAACAGTACAACCCACTGAAGAAGAGACGTAGAGATCACAGCCTCGCTGTGTAATAATAATCGAAGAATAATCGAAAGATTATTCCCGTTAAAAATGGCGTAGTTGGCGCTGCTGTGAATAAGGTCTAGGCCTTTCTATGGTCTAGGCTTAGTTTTTCTTTACAAAGTTACATCGACAACTCTTGGCCTGGCATGAATAATACAGTGTTTTTAATTATGTTTGCGGATCCGAGTGCGATCGTTTTGACAATGTTGTCGTCTGTACGCAAAAAAACGCAAAGGAAAAACTTTTCCGTTTTTAGTAGGCTACATCGTGGTCATGTAAATGTGCCCACAGACAAAATAAAGCTTGAAACTTTATTTTACATGACTTTATATTATCTAGCAATGAATTTAATGTTCATTGCTAGGTAATATATTTTTTTAAATCACAAAAAGGTTTTGAAACATTTAGACGTTTTTAAATATTTATATCTGTTTATAATGCAAATGTGCTAATATAATATAATATAATATAATATAATATAATATAATATAATATAATATAATATAATATAATATAATATAATATAATATAATATAATATAATATAATATAATATAATATAATGTTGTTGTTTTTTTATTCGGAACTAATTATTACAACGAACCTTTCCTGGAGGAAGCATTTTAATGTAGCGCCTTTGAGCTCTTCCGCTGGAGTGGTTGCTATAGGAACGAGGAAAGCCGATCTGAGGATTACAGCAGACAATCGAAGCAGTTTGATTTTCACTGCCTTGGTTAATAAAAAGCATTTGAAAATAGCAAAACCGTCATGTCCTCTGTTTCCCAGGAGCTGAAAGACACGTGAGTAGTTATATGCGTATTCATGAGGCTTTTTCTAGAAAACAGCATTAGCATGTTGATATAGCATATTCGAATAATTTAAGATTTCCTTAAAATATAATAAATGATGGCCAATCCTTTTATAATAGCAGTAACGTTAGAGCTGAACACCTCTGATTTGCTCAAATATGTCGGCACAATAAATAATACAACAGAGTTGGAGTGTTTTCAAATCCAGTGGATAGAAATAAATTCAGATGTAACGTAACATTACCGATGGTTTTATAATAAAATGCTAGCTTATTGGAAGTAGTAAGTTTTCCCTGTGCTCTTGTAGTTCAGTGGCCAGCTCCAAATGGCTTGATGCCCACTATGACCCAGTCGCCAATCTATACACCTTTTCCTCTTGCATTGGTAAGTCCCTTGAGTCACATGAACTTTCACAATAACTTAACGTACATATCTGCTGTTTAGCCTGCAACTGCCAATGTCCCCAGCTCAGTCTTCCTGTTATTTTCCACAGCTCTTTCAGATTTGCATGGAGATGGTGAGAATAAGGTGAGAATGTGTGTTTATGGCATTGTGTCCCTTGTGAGAAAGATGTGCACTTATAGTTCATCAAAAAATGTAAATGATCCCATAATTTACTCACCCTCAAGCCATCCCAGGTGTATATGACTTTCTTCTTTCAGACAAATACAATCGGAGTTATCAAAAAAAATATCCTGGCTCTTCCAAGCTTTAATGGTACCTTAGATTTTGAAGGGCATGCATCCATCATAAAAGTAATCCATACGGCTTCAGGGTTTTAATAAAGCTCTCCTGAACCGAAGCGATGGGTTTTTGTAAGAAAAATATCCATATTTATAACTTTATAAACTATAATCACTTGCTTCCGGTAACAGCCGTACGTGAGTCGAGTTCCGGCGGAACAGTGACCTCTGACCCGACGAGTGACCTATTGATGAACGCGGAAGCGCAGAGGATAGAGCAAAACACCGGTCACGAATTAGGTGTCTTAAACGAGAATTTTTTAAGTGAAATGTTGGAGGAGCTTGAGTTTGTTGGCCAGCCCTATTTGTTTGAACCAAGAGAGGCGTCTACTTTCACCTAAGCTTACGCTACGTCATGAGTCGGGTCAGAGGTCACTCTTCTGCCGGAACTCGACTGGCATACGGCCATTACCGGAAGCCAGTGATTATAGTTTATAAAGTTATAATTATGGATATTTTTCTTACAAAAATGCTTGATTTCAGAGGGCCTTTATTAACTCCCTGGAGCTATATCGATTATTTTTACAAGGGATAGATGTGCTTTTTTGGACTGCAAAATCGAAGGTACCATTCACTCCCAATTATAAAGCTTGGAAGAGCCAGGATATTTTTTTAATATAACTCTGATTGTGTTTGTCTGAAAGAAGAAAGTCATATACACCTATGATGACTTGAGGGTGAGTAAATTATGGGTTAATTAAATGTTTTGGGTGAACTGTCCCTTTAATATATATATCAGTACATTTGACAGTACATTTTAACTATATTTCAAAGGCAATAGACATAATTATGAAATTACTTATAAATATGTACTTAAGTCCCACTTAAGTGGGTAAAAAAAAAAAATTTCATTTAATATTAATTTAAACTGTAATACATGTTTTATTTAATTGTAAATAACATTAAGGGTACGAAAACATTACATTCAGTAAGTATATATATGTATTTTTTAAATATTATATCCATAGAAGTAATTTTAAAAGTATGCTAAAGTGTAAAGTTTTTTTTCCCAGAAGATAAGAAGTTACCTTTTTATGCAATGGCAATAATCCATCAATGAGAAGTAGACTGGCAATAAAGAGTGATTTGAGCTGTCTGTGTACCAGCTGGTGGTGGGTGATCTTGGCACGGGAGTGTGTCACATGAAGCTAAAGGTGTACCGTGGCACTGGCCTGTTGAGTGAGAGCACCCTGCTGGACTTGCCCACTGGACTGGTCTCCTTCCTCATGGACCTGCATGAGCCACGGACACCGGCCATCGCTGTGGCCTCTGGTCCCTTCATATACGTCTACAAGAACCTGAGGCCCTACTTCAAGTTCACGCTGCCTAGTCTGGAGGTGAACCCTCTGGAGCAGGACGTCTGGAGTCAGGCCAGGGAGGTGAGCTGTTCATATCACACATTCAGCTCTATGCATTGAGTGAATGAATGAGGCATTTATATAGTGCTTTACTATGTACTACTGTACACCCAAAGCGCTTTACAATCATATAATGGGGTCGGCAGCCACAGTACAACAGCACTAGTGCGCTCAATACACACCAGCTATAGATCTTATGCACCAGAGAAACAAGGGCGCCGCCATCTTTAGAATATTGTCTTTGAACTTCCGTTTTTGCGGTCGCTCTATATATCTCTATGGCATCGCTGTCCAAGAGTAATTCGCTTTTGAAGTGGATTTACTTAATGTAAAGTTAACGAAAGTTATCATGAGGATTGTAATGTTTAAAGCAGATGTCTTTAAAAATTTCAGTAGACCGGGAAGATTTTAAAACGAGCCGTTCATTCATAAATAGGCAAGATCGCTGTGAAAATACAGACCGGAAGACAAAAGACAACGAGCGCTGCGCTGAAAAGGGGCGGGGCTACATAAGGTCTATAGACGAATCCGGCGAAACTACCGGAAGTAAGCGGGTGCCATAACTGAGCTGTTGCTGGGTAGCGTTGCGCCATTGCCTCCTATTGTTTTAGTTGCAAAATGCGTCCACTGGAATAAACAGCTCGCGATTTACGACTGTCACTAACGTTACAACTTTTATAATGTCGAGTGGGAAAACATGTTCCGTTTTAAATTGTTTCAATGGTGGCAGTAAAGGGCGCATTGGGGCAGTAACGTTAGTAACATTACTGTTATGTCTGTTGTTAATGTTTGATTTGCTTGACTGTGACAGAATTTTTTTTAAATAACAAATTAAAATAACAAATTAAATTAAATATAATGCAGTTTTTGTTATAATAACAATTATTTAATGACATAAGTAAAACATATAATACATATGTAATATAGTGCTCAGCAAAATCTCCTCTCTAGCTATTTTTTTCTATTCAATTAACATGCTATGGTCATTAAATGGCTTTCCTGAGCTAAATGTTACGTTATGTGACATAATTGTTCTCCTGCTGTTATATTGACCTCTTTCCATGGTTTAAAAACACTAATTGGTCGATATTATGTATACTTTCTAGCTGTAACGTTACCTTACCCTTGCCTTTTGTAATGTGAAAATGAGATAAATAATGGACACAAATGAAAACCATGAATTCGTTTATTTGATGTCATTCATTTATTTATTGTTGCCAAATGGACAGATCTTTTTATAGTTTCCTCGTTAGCTAACGTTAGCCTAGCTGGCTTGCCAAGCTATTTTCATAAATAATCTGTAAGATCGTTTGTACCTTCATCTGTGACTGGAGGCCACTGTCTAACATCATCAACCCAACAAGTCATTCTGCCTGGCTGTAGCTGTCTGTCTGCCTGGCTGCGTTATCACGGAGGTTTGTTTACATACCGGTAACAGCTCAGTAATGGCGTCGCCACAAGATGGCAGCCTACACAGAACGCTCGTCGGATTCGTGTATAGGTGGAGAGGAGAATAAAGCCAATAAAAGCCAATTGAGTGAATAAAGCCGATAAAGCCAATTGAGTGGATGGGGATTATTAGGAGGCCATGATTGATAAGGGCCATTGGAGGGAATTTGGCCAGGACACTGGGGTTACACCCTTGCATCATGTCGTGTGTGAGGCTGCCATATGTTTACTCTAATGATTACTGGATGTGTTTTGACTCTTAGGACATGATTGATCCAATGACCCTTAAAGAGATGTTAGAAGGATTAAGGTGAGTTACTGTATATATTTAGTGTTTTAGACCCAATGCACTGCAGTTGTAATGGCTTTTAGAGTACAGCCTGATACAATACATGTGTATTTTCAGCCCGTTCTCATCCTTTGGCGTCATACATGTGGACATTTCGTTGAAATCTTACGCACATGGCATCGTTTAGCGTGAATATGAGACGCAGATCCCAAGGCGTCATAACCGTACCCTACCCCGGACCTAAACCTACCCATAACAGTGCGTGTTATATTGACGCTAAAGGATGATATGTGCGTAAGATTTCGACTAAATGTCATATGGCGTCACCTATATGACGCCAAATTATGAGAATGCGTTGGTATTTTACAGTTAGAGTACTGTAGATAATTGTATTGTTTTCTTTTGAACAGGGACAAAGCTGAAATTCCCCTCTCTGTCAGATCGCTACGGTAAAAACTGTTCCAATATTATATCTGTTCATATTATAACCTTATTAAGATTATTAATCTAGTATATTAATATAATATTAATATACTATAATAATAACCTTAATAAGGTTATAATATAAAAAAATATTATTTAAAAAGTAATTATTAGTAGTAGTAATTAATACTACAAAGTAGTAATTAAATAAAAATTCATATTAAAATATAATTTTTTTAAATATCAATAAGGAATTGGAAAAACTTGGAATTGGTTGCCTCAAAATAAGTCTTTATACAAAAACAATTATTTGTTTAATATAAAATATAATATATAAACCTTTGTCAAAGTCATATGGTACAACCAACATGCAGAACAAAATCATATAAATATTTTTGTATCTATTTATTAATTAATTGCCTTTCTCGTGTGATTTATTCAGGTTCCTCATGCTTGAGCCACAGGAAATGAAGAGTTTTGTTCATCTTTACAAAGAACAGCCTATACGTAGACAGGTGCCAATATCCGAATACATATACACAGTCACTCACACATAGATGGCCAAAAACAATTGCACTAACATGGCTTTTGTCTCTTTGTTTGTCTCAGACGGTCATTACCTGTATAGGGACGTTGAAGAAGAACATGGCAGATGAGGATGCGGTTAGCTGCCTAGTGATTGGCACAGAGAACAGTGATGTTTACATATTAGATCCAGAAGCCTTTACCATTCTCTATAAGGTCAGCACATTCATATCTGCTTCATATGTTTGTAGTTTCTGGTTTTTATGTATCATCAGAATATCAGTGACTAGTTTAAAATGACTTTACATGTAGTTTTAAATAAACCGATTTCCTAAAAAGAATGAACTCTTTACTGTGAGTTTTCCTGTGTGTTTTCAGATGTCACTGCCTAGTACAGCCACCCTAATGGACGTGACGGGTCAGTTTGATGTGGAATTCCGTATCACTGTGGCCTGTCGCAACGGCAATATCTACATATTACGCAGGTAATTCAGTGAATTGAAACATTTTTGCGGTCCAAGAGGATTTTCAAAACTTGTAATCAGTTGAACCAATTGCTTTACAAAATAAATCTCAAAGCACTCAAAACTGGACATGATGAGGATGTCTGCTGGTTAAACACATGTAAATACATTGTAAATGTGTTTTCATTAAAGTTTCATATGTTCATATGTATTTTTAATACCTCCCCCCGTGGCATTTTCTCCTATAAATTCTAAATGTTCTGAAGCAGTGGGACAGAACAAAGACTCTTTCCTGAAATCATGTGACTTGGTCAGTTAGATACGTGCTCTAAAGCAGTGGATTAGAGAAAAAAAGATGTATAAGGGCTTTGAGGCTTTTTGAAGCAGTCTCTCCCAAGATCCTGATTCACAGGTCAGAGTTCTCCAAACCTGAACTTTGGAACGCATTGAAATGCGAAACTTTTTCGCATGAGCTTGTGTTTCCAGTTCCCAGCTTTCGCATACGTATGAATGGAAGTCAGTGAAACGAAAAGTGTAGTGTGACCGTCCATTTAGTGTAACTTGTATGAAAGATTGTTTCCACCATGGAAAAACAAAAAAAGTAATTGTGACTTTTTATGCTAGTTTTATGCAATTCTGACTTTTTCCTTGCAGTTGCGAGCTTATATCTCGCGATTCTGAATTTATTTATCAGAATTCCGAGTTTATATCTCGCAATTCTGAGTGACGTATTTTCTCAGTATTCTGTATTCAGTGTCCCCCCCAACCGCATACACATGAGGAATAAAAAGCCAGAATTCCAAGATATAAACAGAAAAAAGTCAGAACTGTGAGTTTGTATCTCGCAATTCCTACTTTTTTCACAGAATTGTGAGATACAAACCCGGAATTGCGGAAAAAAAGGTCACACTTGTCATTTACCTTTACCTTTTTTATTCCGTGTCGGAAGCAAGCTCGCATAAACCTGTGATAACGTTAAAAAAGGCCAATAAATAGGTGAGCAACGCTCACTGACATTTTTTTTTTTTTACCTTAAAGGGATTCCCCAAAGCCCAAGTACTGCATTGAGCTGTCCTCTCACCCAGTAGGACTGGTGAGGATGGGAAAGAATGTAGTTGTAGGATGTACCGGTGAGACGCTGCATGGTTACACTCAAAAGGTATGATACATGTATCCATGTCTGTCACAATAACAATAATGCCTCAAAAACTGATAATGATAACCTTCTAATGAATTCTCCTGTAGGGGAAAAAGCTGTGGACGGCTTATTTGCCAGCCCCTGTTACCACCATGGCACTGATGGACCTCCCCACACGAGGATTCCAGGCTGTACTGGTGGGTCTGGCCAACTGTGAAGTACACATGTACAGAGACAAAAATCTGATCAGCACCATCAAAACACCAGTAAGAACTCAATGGGATCATATTGAAGTGTGAAGTTGAAGTGTCCCTGTTCTCGTTATCATTATCAGAGACTTTAATTTCTGTCTTACAGGACGTAGTGACAAGCATTTGTTTCGGGCGCTATGGACGGGAAGACGGCACTCTGATAATGACCACCAAAGGTAATAACGTATGTTACATGGTAGATAAAGCAGTTTACGTCAACTGTAAGATTGGATACAATGCATTTCACATGTTTTTAACTGTCTGTGATCCAGGAGGAGGTTTGATTGTGAAGATCCTCAAGAGGACGGCTGTGTTTGATGACAGAGACTCGGCCCCTGGACCCCCAATAGCCCAGAGCATCCGCCTGAACGTGCCCAAGAAGACCAAGCTCTATGTGGACCAGACTTTGAGAGAGCGTGAAAATGCAGTTGGTTAGTGATGAACCGAAATCATTTTTTTTACAGAAACACCTCTTTCCCCACCATTGACGGAAATTTCTGGTAATCCATGTTTTCACTGTTATACGCTAGGGGAGCTATTACACATCTTCTGAAACAGTAGAGAATCTCTGGATCAAACATTAAACCGCATATAAATCAAAACTGCTTAAAGGTCCTTTCACACTGGACGCGATTTTGACGCACGAATAATTCGCGCGATAGTTTTATTTTTTGATCAGCTGTTTGTGTAATGAGTGCTTCCACACCGAACGCGAATATGCTGCAGGGAAAAAAACGACTTTTATTTTTTTCGCTTCGATGTCGATTTTTTTTTTTACTTTTGCGGCGACAGAAAAGGCTTCAGCCAATCACATACATGGAAACAAAGGTGAAGCTTGTTGACGCTTTGGCCGCTCTGACGTAGCAGCATTATGTGCGAGAGAAGAGAAGTGTCACAACATGAAATGTAAACTAAAAACAAGTAATTCATTGAAACTAGAAACCTTTTATAATGACAGCATTTTTATATTGCCTATTCCGCATCTTAACGCACATGACGTTGTTTGCTTAGGGACCAAAAGAACGAGGCATGGGATAACATAGCTGGGATAGTTGGTGTCTCCGGCGAGTTGATGAAGTGCTTGCTGATGATGTATAATATTTGTGACTATTCATTATTATTAATGTATCGTATCGTTGGCTATGCATCGAGATGCATATCGCATCGGCCTCAGCTATGGAGATGCACATCCCTAGCCCAATATATCGAAAACATTCGGAATGGGTCAGACATAATTTTGGCCACTTATTAAGTTTTGTTTTGTAGAAAGCCTTTCTTTAAAGTGAATTTCATTTTGTATAAATTGTATCTTAATTTTAATCAATTTTTCATCAACAAATTGCCTGGATTAATAGGAATAAGAAGCAAATATAGTAGACAATATAATTAGGACACGGAGGCGCGTGAACTGAAGCGCGTCTCATACCGAAAACGGACAGAAAACACTAGTTTATTAATTAACAATTCAAATGTTTAATGCATAATCCTTACTTTGGCCGGTTCTTTGTGGCAAAGTTTAAGCTACTTTACAAGATTAGCATACTCCCCTTCAGACTATCTGTTCTTTAAGATTGGGTGCACACAAAATCTTTTCTGTCTTTTAAAGAAAACGAAAAGCTCGTCTTCACTGGATGATGATGATGGTGGTGAAGTGTCCGTGTTTTCTCAGTTGTCGGCGCGAAAGTTTTGGAATGTTGAAGCTCTGAACGTCGCAAATTCGCATCGCGGCTGATGTGAATGGTTTTGACGCGAACTATTCGCTTTTTCGTTACGCGTCCGGTGTGAAAGGGCCTTAACGTTACAGAATAAAATGTCGACCCAGGACGAGCTATAGGACTGTGCAAGCTTTGGGAGTGTTGATGGAAGCGATCTACATCTGTTTTGATCATCGTTCTGAATCCGATCCGGACGTCATCTTTGATCATTTTTTTCCCAAATTTTTTTTCAGAATGTTTCTTTTTTTTACCCACATTCAAGTGTTGATAAAAAAAGATTGAATGTAGGTAGAATAAAATGTTTTATGTATTTTTTCTTAAAGCAGAGGCTCTGTTCTTTTAATATATTGCATGTTCAGCTATTCATACAAAAATTTTTTGTATTTTGTGAAAATGATCAAAAATGCTGACTATGCTAAAGTTTTCCCTTGGCTGAAAACCGAAACCGGAAGTCTAGTTTTGATAATTAAGTTTCACTGAGTAACTGAACGTTTGCTGTTAAGGGTGTTGTGTTCTCAAGTGATAAATTAAACCAATTTGAACAAATCTTACATATTGCATATTACATACTAGTCAAAACTTAGGAATAATTAAGATGTTTAAATGTTTTTGTAAAAAGTCTCTTATGCTCACCAAGGCTGCATTTGTTAGATCAAAAATACAGTAAAAACACTAACATTATGAAATATTATTACAATTTAAAATCACTTTTTTATTGTAATATATTTTAAAATGTAAAATGATGGCAAAACTGAATTTTCAGCATCAATACTCCAGTCTTCAGTGTCACATGATCCTTCAGAAATCATTCTGATATGCTGATTTGCTGCTCAATAAACATTTCTTATTATTATCAATGTTATATCATTACAAATATTTACCTATTGTTGCATCATTTTTGGCCATGGTGAAAAGTGTCTGACATGTTTATCTTTTGTATTTTATCCACGTTTTGTGAACAAAATAGATACTGACAGTCAAAACACGCCACTGAAGAAGTGGTAATTAAACGCCAATGTTTAGGTCAATTGCTCTCCAATACCATTTCCACTGAAACCAACAGTTCCTTTTTTTTGCGTGTTTGTTTCCGTTTGCTGAAATTTCGGTGCATTGCTACAATTGGACACAGTACTAGAACAAATTAGATAATTTAGTCATTTTTATAACCAAAGGTGATGGTGTAGTTCCCTTTCGTTGTCACTCCGAGTTCCGTCGGATGACGACGAATGGGGTTTCGCTTAGAAAGCCAATCGACTTCGAATACTTCAAAACGAGCCAATGGCAAAGAAATGCCATGGGTCTGCGGAATTTGCATAGCGTAGCACCGCCCCACCTCGTGGGTATTTAAGGAGCACGCTGGCAGCAAACCGGCATGTTTTCGCTTCGGAGCCAAGGTGATCCTTCGTTCCACAAGCCATTCCTGAATTTGTCAGTTCTTCAAACGAGCAAGATTCTCTGGTGTTGGTGTGACGGCGATCTTCGGCGAGCGCGCACTTCCTGCGTATCTGTCTGTGGTTCGACAGCGAGTGTGTTTCTCCCCGAGCGCTTCAACACAATCAGGTTTCTATTCTCACAAAAGAGCTTGCACGTGGCACGTCTTTTTAAAGATGCCTCGCCCGTGCACTTCTGGTTGCGGTAGGCTGGTTGACGACTCTGATGGGCACGAGTGGTGCATAGTGTGTTTGGGCATTGATCACGCTAGAGCAGCACTCGTGGATGACTCATGTTCTCTCTGTGGGAACATGACCATCGCAGCATTACGGTCAAGACTCGGTGATCTCGCAAGAGTGAGGGTCCCCTCATCCACACCCCGATCTACTGACTCTAGAAATAGAGCTAGTACTTCGGCTGGTGGCCAGGGTGATCTGAGGGTGACGGTTTGGAACCAAGCGCCGACTATCAGTCCGTGCCCAGCCGCACCCTCTCCAATGCTGCAACCCGTGAGTGCTCAGGGGATTCCGGCGAGATCATCTTCGGGTGTCCCGCGGGTTTCCTTTGGCGCTCCAGAGGAAGATGCCATGTCTATTGCAGCATCACAAGGTGGGTCGGAGTCTGCTGGAAGTGAAGACTCATCACAGCTGCCGCCTTCGGGTGTGACTACAGTTGTGCCAGAGTCAGATCCAGAGATGACGGCCATGCTGTCTCGAGCCGCCGCGAGCATCGGGTTAGAGTGGAACCCTCCGCCCTGTCCCGAGCGCTCGCGGCTGGATGACTGGTATTTGGGTCAGGCTGCGGACCCCCGTCCGCGTCAGGCCCCGATACCTTTCTTCCCGGACGTGCATGATGAGATCTCGAAGTCCTGGAAGACTCCCATGTCTTCCCGTGACCGCTCGATGATCTCATCCGCCTTTCCTCCCCTCGATGAGGCCGCTGCCCGTGGGTACACTGGGCTTCCCCCGGTCGAACGCTCTGTTGCGATGCAACTGTGTCCTCAGAGCGCTTCGTCTCGTGGTGAGCCAAAGCACCCATCCAAAGCCTGTAGGTATTCGTCTACGTTAGTGGCGAAGTCCTACAGAGCTGCGGGACAGGCAGCCACCTCTTTGCATGCCATGGCCATTCTGCAGGTCTACCAGGCCCAGATGCTCAGGGACATGCACGAGGGTAGGACGGACCCAGGGCTCTTCAATGAGCTGCGCGCCGCCACCGACCTTGCTCTCCGAGCGACGAAGGTGACCGCACGCTCCCTGGGTTTGGTGATGTCCACAGCCGTGGTCCAGGAGAGACATCTATGGCTTAATCTTGCCGATATGAAGGATGCCGAGCGGTCCCGGCTGCTCGACACCCCCATATCGCAAGATGGCCTTTTCGGCGGTGCAGTCGAGGACTTTGCCCAACAGTTCTCGACTGCGCAGAAACAGACTGAGGCTATTAAGCATATTCTGCCCCGACGGCCCGCTGCTGCCTCCACCCAGCCGACCGGGCAGAGTACTCAGTCTGTTCGCCGCCGAGGGCGCCCTCCTGCGACTCCCGCCCCTCCCGCCCGGCCCAAGCAGCAGCCTCCACCCGGGCCCGGTCGCGGAGGAAGTCGCAAGAAGGCGCCCCAGCCCTCTCCAGCCCCGCCCCCCGCTAAACGCCGGGCCAAGCGGCGCTCCTGAGACGGGCTGCTCAGGGATGACGTGTGTTTCTCAGGAGGTGGTAGCAGGACCACTCCTTCCCCCGGTGGAGGGCCGGGGGAGAATCTTTTGTTCTCCACTCCCCGCTGCTCACCCACGGGTGGGCAGCACCCTAATGTGGTTAAGAAAGAAATAACACGTTCATCCCTGAGCACACAGAGTTCTTGGACGACACGGTGCGCCGCCCCCGGGCCGTGCACCCCTCGTCCTCCTCTGTCCCAGAGCCGGATGACAGTGCGCGCCGTCTCCGGACCGTACCACTCTCATCCCCCTCTGTCGCCAGACCCCTGGCAGAGCAGACCCCCGTGGAACGTTCGTCCTTCCCTGGTCTCCTCTGTCAGGGCGCGGTTCATGACTGCACCCCCACATCGGGCCGCTATGCCGTCCACGTCTGGGTCAGTCATACCGCCTCGCTGCCCCACCGACGGGAAGTCTGTGGTTCGCATGACCCCGCTGGTTCAGTCCTTGGGAGCTTGGTTAGAGCTTCCCAACCTGTCCCGCTGGGTCGCACGAACGATCAGGCTCGGCTACGCGATTCAGTTCGCGCGGTCTCCTCCCCGCTTCAGGGGAGTCCGCTCCACTATGGTCGGTGGCAATGCCCCT